GCTGTGACTTGACTGGACTCAGGAAGATCAGCTGTGACTTGACTTGCCTCATGACGATCAGCTGTGATTTGACTTGATTCATGATGATCAACTGTGACTTGACTTGACCCATGAAGAATAACTGTGACTTGACTTGGTTCATGAAGATCAGCTGTTATTAATACAGTTCCGTGAGATTTTCCATTGACTTTTCCAAGTCATGCCTAGAAATTTGAAAGTTCCTAATATTTCCATGACCACAAGAACTCGATGTAGAGGGATGTCAAAAGGAGTCCAATTTACCAGAGTTTACCCAACAGTACAAATGACTCTTTGCTTGAACAGGGAAAGAGAAAGCAGACACCACACTGTTACTGAAGTAATATTTTAAGAAGTGTTTGTCTCCTCCAAGATCCGTGTGTCTAGTCCCGCCTCCACCGCCGCATCCAAAATCATCTCAAACTCAGCCGACTCCACCTCCCCTGGGACCCGAATACTGCCGTACTTCTCTCCAATGAGCCCCTGGGAAAGAGGGAGAAACTTTATTTACACCTTAATCTTATCACAGCGTATCATAAAAGCAGAAATAAATAAAGAGGAGGAGAGAAACACAAAGGGCTGTTACACTGCGCATAACCTTGATTATTGTGTTTTAAAATCTAGACTAAGGCCACTTTTAACCCTGGGTAAATCAGCAGTTTACACTCATAATTTTGAAGCTTAGCACTGCTTTAAACCCTGGTTTATGAAAACCTCTAATCTTTTGCGGTTCCTGTCACAAGCGATATTCTGCTTTGCATATTATGAGGTCGATAACATTGAGTGGATATTGCAAACTGACCTCATAAATATGCAAATAAGAACATTAACCCAGAGTTTACAAGTGAACAGTATTAAGATTAATTATTAAGACAGGATAAAGTGTGAACGGTGTGAAACCAGGGTTAATAATTTCAAATGTGATATGTCAAAATGATCAATTAAGACTTATTAACAGGGTTTATACAAAGAAAAAACTGAATTCGAAAGCTACAGAAAATAAAACAGTCCACATGCCATTTAACATTGCAAGTTTGTAATGAATTCACAAAAATACAGTAAAGGCTGTTAGCTTTAGAGCATCCCACTGCCAACCTTTATGTCTTTTCCAAGCTATTTAGCTACTCCTGCGTGACTGTTGTCCGTGCCACTGAGATTAGAAAGCCAATTCGCTACGTTTGCCAGTGTCATTGTGTCCACGAGCCCATAGCCGCCAGTGACAGAGCATTCAAATTGTGTTGGATAAGCCTATAGACTAATGATCTGGCCCTTCTTCAAAAACATATACATTAGAGACTTGCAGGAGATGAGACAGGGGTTGTGGGATATCATGGTCTCTGATTAAAGAGGAGTAGCAGAATCCAAAGAGAAAATCTTCTCCTTGGCTTATATCTCTACTGAAATTGTAGGTTTCCTACAGGAAAAATGTGACAGTGGTGCTGTGAGATGATTTATGTGACAGCTAATTCAGTATTTTTTAATGGCTACTGGGATGAACTTTTAATGCTTTGCTTACCTGACCTTTACATCACTGTGCATCTATCTGTCTCGCTCTTCCTCTGTAATTTTAGCTTATACATTCTCTCTTTTTTTTCCAACTCCTTCCTACACAGAAAAAGATACATTATTCCTGTGAGCTTTATTGCTCTAGTGTTTAGTGCACAGTACTGAGGAGTATTAGGACTATGAAACTCTGCCAACTAGATTAAGAATGAGGGTGATGAGCCAAAACCCAACTCTCTCTCCCTCGCCTTCTGCTTCTTCATGCTTTTCTTATAAGTAAAGGTGATATGATAAAAAAAAATAAAAAATCTTAACCTTCATAATACATTCAAAATCATTTTTTTTAAACTAAAACCACATTGTATTTGTGGTTGCAACTCTCAATCAATGTGCAAAACATCAGTGTTGGATGTTACAGTGTTATTACTGTTATTACTACATTTAACCCTTTTAATTAAAAAAACTGAGGAATTCTTTGAATTTTTCTCATGAACTACATGACTCTACACTGTGATGCAAGAAAAAGACCTTTTGCAATATCCATTCAAATTTTATATGAGAATTACTAGGATCAGCTCCACTGAAATCATTTGATTAATTAAGGAACAGTCCACCCAAAAATGACAATTCTTCTATAGGCTAGCATTACAAAAAAAAAAAAAAACATTAAAAAATTAAAAGAAATTAAAGCATATTTGGTTTAACTATCCCTTTAAATTTCTCAAAAACAGCCCACATTTTTTTAAACCTACATATTCTATTTCTAACAAAACAAGATCAGAGCAACATCAATATTACTCTCATACATTTTTAAACTAAATATATTCATTTAACACAAAAGTGGTGTAAATCGTGTGTACTCAGAAGAACCTGTAACCCCAAACCATTACAACCTTAGCAGGCAACACTAAAGAAATCTATAAATATTAAAAACAGCTTTGCAAAGCCATTATTGATTTCCTCTGATAGATGTGTGTGCATGTCTGTGTGTGTGTGTGCAAATTTCACATAATCACACACATCCTGAGCACCAGAATGAAACCCTGAAAAGGAAAAAAGCTAGGTATCATCCAGCTCATTCATACACGCTGTTCAGCCTCCAGCAACTCTAAACATGTCAGAAAATCATTTGGTTCCAATTTCAGTCTTCTCAATTTCATGAAATCTCATCACATTGGGTATGGAAGATGAGCTACACTTTACAATTCACCCGATGTAACTCTGAATCTTTTTGACCCGTAATACTTTTTTTTTTTTGTGAAAAAAAAACATTTTTGTGAAGATCCTCCTCCACCAATCTTTGAGGTTTTAACCAGTTGTGAAAATAGCTACAAAATATATAGTCTACAAAATATAAAAAAATATATATGTTGAATAATTGAAAGGAGGTTTCCACTGATGTCTTTGTCACAGCCTCAGACAGTGGATAACAGGAATAGAGAGACTGTGAAAAACTGGTCAGACGAGTGTTAGGGTGTCAGTGTGGAAATACGTCCCCTTGGCAATTGAGACACACACACTCACAAAAACACATAAGACGTACATCTGTCTCATGTTTTATCACGCGGGGCTCAGAGACACCTCCGCTGCCATGAAATCTGCTGCTGCTGAGGATACACACTATTATCTACACCCTCGGGGCGTGAAGAACAACAAGGTGTGTGTAAGAGAGAAATAGAGAGCGAGGCTGTAAAATGACCCTATAGTACAATCTGTGTTGCTATACTGTTCCTCTGAGATGGTTTGCTTGGTCTACTTACAGATAAGCCAGTGTTTTTCCTTAAGCATGGACAAAACAAGAGTATATAGTACAGTATATTCTGTATGTGTAGCCCCTAAACATTCAGTTCCATGTGAAACCAAGCACTCTGGACTGTGTGCTGTGAGACACAGTCCCTTGATACCGTGCCACACTTTGATGACACATGAACAGGTACTAGAATAAACAGACACTTTGAAGTCATATTAGGAGTGTGTATCATAGCGCCTTCATTTTCTCATCCACTCCTTTGTTGTTCTGCAGCTGTTACTGTTCTCTTGTTTCTTCCCTTCTAGCTCTTTCTGCCCATCTCTCTCTCTGTCTCTGTCTCTGCCCCAGGCTGTGTGACAGTGAGTTTCAGCTGCTGTCTCCTCTTGCAAGTGCTTTGATGTCTGTCTTACTGTTACTGTTCTAGGAAACCATAACCTCAGAGCATTGTGGGAAGTGGAGAGTGTGGGGAGTGTTGTTCAGAATTAATTCATCTTTGAGGAATGTCAAGTTCATTGTTTAGGATTGTTTTTCTTTTTGAGACTTGGGGCTCAAATGCAATTTTACAATGAAATGAAGCACAGTGGAAAGACATGGGAGGTCCATGTTAATTAAATTCTCCTACTTTTTTATATTTTTGATGTACACTATCATTCAGAAGTTTGGTAAGATCTCTTATGCATATCTAGGCTGCATTTATTTGATAAAAAACAATACAGTAAAATCAGTCAAATCAATTTGAAATGGTTAAATATTACTACAATTTAAAATAACTGTTTTCTGTTTTAATATACTTCAAAATGTAATTTATTACTGTTATGGCAAAGCTAGGTTTTCTCCACAACTCCAGTCTTTATTGTCACATGATCCTTCAGACGTACTGTATGCTGATTTGTTGTCCAAGAAACATTTTGTATTATTATCATCAATGTTGAAAACAGTTTTGCTTCTTCAAAAGAAAAGCATTGTTTTGAAACAGAAATCATTTGTTACGTGATAATGATCTTTACTGTCTCTTTTGATCAATTACATACATCCTTCCTGAATAAAACTTAATAATCCTTCCTGAATAATTACTGACCCCAAATGTTTGTAGTGTAACAAAAATAGTGTATATATTTGCAGTGTTGGGAAGGTTACTTTGGAAATGTAATAGGTTACAGATTACAAGTTACCCTATTCAAAATGCAATTAGTAGTGTAACTATTTCAATTACTTTATTAAAGTAATGTAACAGATTACATTTGATTACCTTTTAATTACTTTTACTAAGTTTCTAACGAATGTTCCCAGATGTTAATCGATTTCAAACATTTAAAGCCGGCAGGGTTAACCTTACAGTAGTACTCAACACTGATTACTGTCAGACTTCAAAATTCATTTGAATTTTGAATACAGACTTCATTTGAATTAAGATTATAGTAATTTAATTTGAAAGCAGTCACCACAAAATCAGACTTTAACACCTCTGTTTACTTTGAGATCTTTCTGAGGTTAAATACAAATTTAAAATAATAAGAAATAGTTTAATAGCTGTGATACTGTTTTTGAAATCAAATCTTTGCATAGCTATAACAGGAAACATTGGCATCTAACAATGCCTTTGGAAAAAACAGTTCATTTTAAAAAGTAAAGCATATACATAAAACAGTTATTGAATAAGCATGTGTCCTATATAAACTCCTGAAACATTGGTGTCTCATATTTTAGAGTGGTCAATCAAAAACAGGCAAAACAAAACATTTTATTCAACATATCCTAGCTTTTTACAGCAAATATTCAGATGTAACCCGCTTTGTAATTGAATAATTAAATTTATTTTTATTTTTTTAGATTTATTTTTTGGCATTTTCGCCTTTATTACAATAGGACAGATCAAAACTGACAGGAAGTGAAGTGGGAGAGAGATAGGGGATCAGGAAAGGTCCTCAAGTCGGGATTCGAACTCAGGACGCCCGTAGCATGTAGCTATCAGTGCCGACATCGTTAAATGTTTTCACAAGTAACTAATTTATTTAACCATTTTTTTTCCCAGTAACTATAATGGATTACAGTTACATTTATTTTGTAATTGAATTGCGTAATGTTGTTACATGTAACTAGTTACTCCCCAACACTGTATATTTGTGATAATGAGGCTAAAAAAGCTAACAAACTCAAAATGAATGTAGATGATATAGACCGTACTTTAAAATCTAATTTCCGTTTAAATGCTACCAGTCTCAGCAGCCCT